CACCATCTTCCTAAGATGCTGTGTGTGAGTTTATTATTGTGGTGGCTGTTGTTTCTCTTGAGGATATTTCAGATTTATCTTTGGAAATCGTATTGAGAAGCATCCTTGGCGATCAACAGGGAAACCAGGATTTCCCTTGGTATATAATCCCCTTTAAAACTCATGATCCAGTGTTTCTTTAACTTGATCTTTTTCTTTAAATGAAATCTTAGCCTAGTGATATTTTTAAATTTTATGCAAAGCGATGCTTCCTCAAGCCTGTGTGTACACTTGTCTCCAGTTTCACTGGAATTTGGAGGCTGTGGCAGGCCACTGTCTGTGTTTCTTTGAACATCCATTTGCACCTTTTTCTGTTTGACTCTTTGTTAGCATGAAGACTTGATTTTTTTAGTGCAACACACATTACTGTGCATATATGTGTATACACACGTGTGTGTGTGCTCGCACAAGGACGCAATGGGGTGGGAGTGTTCCAGAGAGAGTGCGCTCGACTTAGCATGTAACATTACTGTTGGTGAGCAGTTCAGAATGAGAGAATAAAGTGGTTCCCAAACTAAGTTGAAGAGACGGGCTCCCCTCCCCCAAATAATAATGCCTGGCCCAGGCGCCAGAGAGTGAGATCATATTACATTTCAACTGGGCTTAATTATGCTCTGGGTTGATTTAAACCGGAGCCAGCTCAAAGCAGACCCACATTAGCACAAATCCATGGCAAATCTTAGGAAAGCAATTGGCCTGGCTGGGGGATGTGCTCTGTGATGCTGTGAATATTAGCAGCCTTTTTATAAAGAATGTGCTGGAAGGATTGAAAAAAAATTAGGTTTGGGTGTCAGCACCTAATAATTGGTAAAGGCTTGTTTTGTTTTTAAATAGAGGAAACGTCCCTAAATCCAGCAGGGCATCAGCATCAGAAAATTGGAGAAGTATGTCAAGGCAAGGTTTGCATGCATTATAAAGGTCTCACTGTTTCCCTTAAAATAAAAGAAAAATGAGAGAAGTTAAGCTCCTGCTTCTTAGAATGTTGACACCAGAAAACAGCACTTGAGCAGAGGAATAACCTCATGAGAACCCGGCCCAGGGCACAGGGCTTCTGTGCTGGCTCCCACCGTATGAGTCTCTTGACCCATCTGTAGTAAAGGGACAGAACTTTCTTGCTAACTGTGCTCTGCTCTCTGTATCACACTGCTCCCCTCAGCTCAGAATATCAGCAGCCCTGTTTGTCCCCCGGGGAGCAGGGCAGCCAGAAAGAGGTGGAGTGGGAGCATTTGGCAGAATATCACCCATATAAGAGGAACCAGGCTGAGTCCCTCACCACACTGCGTTTAATTCCCCCTTCCCCATGCGGCTCTGGTTACACATGAAATCAGATTAAATATGGAGAATCAAGGTCTTGACTCAAATGCCTTCAAGTGGATGGTGGAAAATCAGTACTTCACTTTTTAAATATATTTTGTTTTAAAACTACCGATACTTGAGAGTTATAAATCACTGGCCATTTTAACAACTTTTCTCTCCTTTTTGTAAGTTTCAAGGTGAAAAAAAAAGAAAGTCCTAATAGAAAATCCTCAGTATGCTGCGTTATTTATAGGCAGACTTTTAGGGAAGCAGATAAAAATGTTGCAGAATAAACACAGAACTGCTTCGCAGACATTTGAACCACACTGAAAAAGAAAAAAAGAGGGAAGAAAATTGCAGAACATTTCAGACTCAAAGAGTTGGCCATTGTGCTCTGAAATGCTTACATTGAGGAATGAAAAGTCCAAGAGTTTGTTTCCCAGTGGACTGAGCACAGAAGGAAAGAGGCCCAGGAAAGTGGGGAGTGGGTGTCCTTGTGCAGACCAGTTGCGCACACCATTGCACCCACCTCCCGGTGCACACACATACACACTCCAGTCACTCACACACACCCCAGTGTGCACGCACACCCAGCAGTGGGAGGAGAGGCCGGATCACTCCTCCTGTCAGAAGGTCAGCCAGCGTCTGGAATCTGGCGATTTGGACTTTCCCGCCTGTTGGACACTTGCGCTGGGTGCCCCTGGCACAAAAGCTTTTTGTGAGGATGGTGGACGGCTGCGCTCTTCCTCCTCTGTGCAGCCCCATGAGTCTGCAGCATCAGTGTTGACTTGGGACTAGAAACCAGTGCAGGCTCTGCCTGGAAGTGCCCCCTGTGCCATTGGAGGCACACAGTGGCTCCCCCAGGTTTTTCTGGTCCCTGGAAGTGACTCCTTGCAGCCGGTACCTTGGCTCCACCACATGGATTGGCTGCTGACTCAAATTTGATCTTTATTCAGCCCAGACATAACTCCCTATTATAGAACCGAATTCTAATCCTGAATCATTCCAGACCTCAGTGTTTGCCAGGGTCCTTGTTGGTATGGAAGTGTCTCAACTAAACTCACTGTCATCATACTCACAACAGTTAGATTTGCAGAGCCCAACATACGCAGCAGATCTTTTCAGATAGCCTTGTCAATAACACGGATTATATTTCCAGTTTCTACTGAAACTATATGTACACATTTGTCTTTTAAGCTCAGCCTGTTCTTTGAGCATCTAGCCTGAGTGGAATAGTTGTTACTCATTTTTAGTTTCTAATTTATGTAGTAAGCACTTTTCTGGGATTTGCCACATAGCTATCCCTTTTCCCAAGAAAATTCACTTGAAAGACATTGTGAACTTAGATATTTGCAAGGGAGTATCTGATGCAGGGAAAGAGCACAGGGTGTGGAGCTAGAAAGACTGAGATCTCGTGTTGGCTCTGCTCCTTCCCAGCTGTGCGACCTCTCCTGGAACATAGTAGGCATGCAGGGGCACAAGGGAAATGAACAACTGAATGAAATTCAGATTTTGTGATGAAAGCCAATGGTGATTTTATTTACCCAACAGAAATTTACTTTGGGAAAAACTGAAGTGCATCTGTCTGTAAAGAAAGGATGGCTCTCATACGTTTTTAGAGAAATGAAATGGCATTTCAGGAACTCTTATTTAGGCATACTGCTTAACATTACTCTTTGGAATCTGTGCACTGAAGTGTGTGTGTGTGTGTCCTAGAAACCAAGCACATACCCTCCTCTGATTCTGTCCTCTCCATGCTGTTGTACACACACAGGAGCTGACGGGTAAACTGCCTGTGGAATACCCCCTGGATCCAGGGGAGGAACCACCCATTGTTCGAAGAAGAATCGGGACGGCCTTCAAGCTGGATGAGCAGAAAGTCCTGCCCAAAGGAGAGGTGTGACCTTCTTCCTGCTGTTGGATTTTCTCCCATAACCCTCATTTCCCCTATATGTTAGGGCGTCAGGTTTCCTATATCAATTTCTTCCTCCTACCCAATGCCCAGTGCCATTTCCCCTTCCGCCTGAGTATCTGTCCTTTGACCTTTGGTGAAGTTGAAGTTGGCTTGGTCAGGATGTAGCTCCCTTGCTGGGATTTGCTAGCTTGCGTTAGTAGCAAGTTGATTTCTGTGCAAGTTGTTTGTCTAACACCATAGGCTTGGTTCGCAAGTGGCTAAGTGAAGCTTGAGAGAACGTTCCAGTAAAACCATGTGTACTTACTTGTCTTTTTAATGGCCTCCCAGCCCTTTGTTACTCAGAGCCAAGCGTAGTGTCTGATCTATGGAAGAAAAAACCAAAGAAGAAAGAAAACTTAGGCCATGTCAACAGATGCAGAGATGCCATTGGCTGGGGGAAGATAGTAGAGCCTGCCCTCAGTGGCCTCACCTTAACCTTGCTGATAGAATTGCTGCCAGAGCGTGAGCAGGATGCTGGGCCCTCATGGCCTTGCTTGTTGGCCTTTGGAGGAGCCGCTGAAGCATCGCTCATTTTTCCTCTTTGACTAAACACTGGTCGGGGCTGGAACTAGAGAGTTCATACCTGTGGGGAGAAAGCTTGAGTCTCCAGCTGGTTAATAAGTTATCCAGGGAAATTCAAGGCCAGGTGTACCTTCAGGCCCTAGGGTCATGTCCAGGTAGTGTCTTCCCAAACTTATTCTGAATAAAGTTACTCACTGAAAGGCTACGAGCACTTAAAAGGGCAGGAGTCAAAGCCAGTGGAGAAGGGAATACTGGACATATTTAGTCTTTTCCAAAAAGTGATTGGTCGAAACCAACGTTCTCATGTAACACCTGGTGGGTTAGCGTGAGGGTGAATTCAGAGGGGACCACAGTGCCCTGGAGCCAGTGGAAGTGGTGGGTGAATCTCCTGGGATCCCAGGGGACTGGTGGACACACCAGAATGTTCCATCCAGATCTAAAGTTGGCAATTCTAATCCAGGCAATTGTCCTCTTCCATAAAATGAAATGCATAATCCTTATTTCTTTGGGTTGTCGCTAGGATTAAATGAGCTGGCATGTGAAAACGTTTAACTCAGTTCTTGTCACCTGCTTGACACTCAATAAACATGAGTTGCTTGACATGGAGATGAGATATTCGAGGAGAAGAACTGTGGCTGTGGGTGCCCAGGATTCTACTGGGGTCAGAACTGGGCTGAGGGCAGGTGCCATTTAAGAGACCACCTGGTTGGGTATTTTGCAAATCCGGCTGTCATCAGAATTGCCTAAGGAACTTCCACTCCCCTTATGCTGGGCAAACACCTGGCACCATCCTTTTAAGAGGAGCCCCCATTTTTCGTGAGCCCTACGCCCCATTCTTCTCACAGCCTCACCATACCTTCTCACCAGCCGATCCTTCACACTCTTCAGTGAAGGATGATTTCAGTTTCCCAAGAATTCCATGTGCATCCTCACCTGCATATTACCACTCGTAAATTACTGAAAGGGAGCCCCACAGAATTAGCTGGTGCATGCAAGTTCCTCCAGGAAGGACAGGCTCCCCTGGGCTCTGTCGCTGCTCCCCGGTTCTCCTGGACGTACACTTGGCTTCCCTGTGCACACAGCAGGCAGCATCTGTACCGCAGACAGGGCCACCAGCCTTGTACTTGTCTTGGTTCCAGTAGCGAGAATTTGTCCTGGGCTCCTATACAACTTTGGGTCGGTGTCTTGGGCCAGGGCTATCGCAACAGCCTGGGAACAGCTGCTAGGTGGAGTCACGCTCACAGAATAGTCTTTGTCTTTGGTGACTTGTTTGTTTCAAGACCTTGGGCGGGAGTCCATCTTGATATTCGTCTCCTTCCCGGAGAACAAAAGCATCGGGCATTTGAAGGAACTGGAAGGAGTTGATTGTCTCCCAAAGAGTTCCCTTTCATCTTCACCTTTCGCTCTCACACCTGGTGCCCCCTCCCTTCAGCCTTAAAGTGCTCAAAAGGAAATAAAATCAAGCTAAGAGTTTTGTGCTTGCCGAGGCATCCAGCCTGGGAATGTTTTATTCGGCCATTAACTAGGAAGATCCCCGGATACCGCCAAACTTGGTGATCTGCTCCTACGTGGTTAGATCGGTTCCTGTCAGACTTTGGCGTGAGTGGATCACCTAGGACAAGATGAGGGCCTGGTCTCCCTTGGCCTCACGGTCAGTATTCAAAAAACTCTGAGTTGCAAAGAGGCCAGCAGAAAATCCACTGTCCCCAGTTTCATCCTCTGGGTCCCCAGGTATTTCCTGGCAGTCACAGCTTCATTTCTCCCGGGACCAAAACTCTGAGGAAAAACTCATCCATTTGCTCCTTCTGGCCAAAGTAAGGGGTCGAGGTGGGAGGGAGGTACACGAGGAGAGGCGGGAGCATGCCCTGAAGCAATGCAAGGAGTAGGGGAAACTGGTCCACCACCATCTGCCACCCAGGCCTCCTGAGGGTCCCACTCATGGCCCAGGCAGAGCTTTTAGGAAGAGCCAGAGAGGACAGCTGGAGCTTGCAAGAAGCGCTCCCCAAAGAGACAGGAGTGAGTGAGGATGAGTCCCAACATGAAGGGCTCAAAATATGGGAGACAGGGCACGAGTGGGAGGGTGGAAGAGAGGCACGTCTGTGCACTCCCTATTAGCCAACACGTAGAAAAGCACGACAGAAAGCTGCTCCAAAAGTAAATAACACTGCATCCTACACCCCAGATAAGTGGGCTCTGAATTTCCACCAAGGCTTGGCCTTCATGAACCTTGCTGGAGATCCTGGAATCAAAACCAAAAGACCCCCAAGGCCTGGAGCACGGGAGCTCTTTGCTTCTCGATGGTGGTGCCAGTGTATGGACCAACGCTTGTCTCTAGAATGGAACAGGGGCCAAGAGGCTGGAAAGGGGGTGTGCCCAGGGCACCAGGCTGCCGGGCTGTAGGAACAGGGCCACTGCGGCGTCAGGCAAGGTTGGGAGTTAGGTGCTGGGAATGCTGGTTTCCTAGCACGCAGGTCTCCCAAGGAGTAAGGTGGTCTCGCTCGCCTTGGGGCAGGGACGGGCTGGGAGGAATAGTGTCTCCCTGCCCAGCACCCCCTTAAGTCTAAGCTGTGCTCTCCCTCCCACAGGAAGCCGAGCTGGAACGCCTGGAACGGGAGTTTGCCATTCAGTCCCAGATAACGGAGGCTGCCCGCCGCCTAGCCAGTGACCCCAATGTCAGCAAAAAACTGAAGAAACAAAGGAAAACCTCTTATCTGAACGCACTGAAGAAGCTGCAGGAGATTGAAAATGCAATCAACGAGAACCGGGTCAAGTCTGGGAAGAAGCCCACCCAGAGGGCTTCGCTGATCATTGACGGTCAGTGCTGGGCCCTCTCCCCACTGCAGGCGGCCCCACTCCCCCAGGAGCCTGGCTCCCTGCATGACCTAGGCAAGCTAGTTAACCACTTGTACCTCACTTTTTCCATCCATAAGATGAAGCTAATAAGGCCTGATACCAATGAGAGCAATAAAGTGCACTCAGGTCCACAGATGAGAGGGTTTATGGAAATTGAACTATCCTCATCACTTATTTATTGCCTCCCTGGGAGAACCTGCAGCCATGGGCCAAACACTACCCTCAGCCCTCACCATGCACTGAGCCGAGTAACTGTGCCAGCCCGGGGCTCACCTGGGCTCTTCCATTCTCACGGACCTGACCAGCCTCCCTAGGTCTGGAAGGAAAGGGGGGTGGCTGGGGCACACTACAGGCCAGCACCCCTTGCCAGCCCCCTGTCCTTCTCAGTCTGACTCTGTCCCCTGGGGCTCCCATCCCAAAGCTGGAGCTGGGCACGGCTGGGCTGCCCCACTCTGACTGTCAGAGCCCTGAACTCCAGTCGGGAGGGGTTAAGAGTTTGGGTGATTATATTTGGTAAACACTAGAAGGAAATACCCCAAATCCACCAACAACCATCAAGTCCCCCGAACTGTTACAATCCTTTTTTTCCCCTAAATCAGAAAATTCTTTAAAATACGTATCAAGTATTCTTTCATGGCTTATGCATGTTTAAAATATTTTTGCTCTAGGAAAACAGAAAGTAGAATAGAGGTTACCAGGGGCTGGGGAGGGGAGACTGAGACTTATTGCTTCACGGGGACAGAGTTTCTGTTTTGGAAGATGAGAAAGTTCTGGACGTGGGTGTGGTGGTTGCACAACAATGCGAATGTGCTTAATGCCACTGCACTGTACAGTTAAAAATGGTTAAAATAGTAAATGTTCTGTTATGTATCTTTTACCATAATTTTGTTTATATATGTCTATATACACATATATGTGTGTGTGTCTATCTATCTATCTATCTATCTATCTATATATATATATATAAATCTACAGCCTAAAAAATATAGGCATACTGGGGAAGCAATGATATACTGGAGACTCCAAGATGCCAAAGTCAAGGCTCTCTGTCTCCTAGTTGTTTACAGTCCATCAAGTAATACGAATAAAGTGAATTCCTAGTTTAAAAAAGAAGGCACCATAAAAAAAATCCTCAGGGCCAGCCCTGGTGGCCTAGTGGTTAAGTTTAGCGCACTGTGCTTCAGCGGCCTGGGTTTGGATCCTGGGTGTGGACCTATACCAGTTGTCAGCAGCCGTGTTGTGGCAGCAACCCACGTACAAATTAGAGAAAGACTGGCACAAGTGTTAGCTCAGGGCGAATCTTCTTCAGCACCAGAAAAAAAAATCCTTTTGCTCTGGGAAATCTGGAATATCCATCTTTCCCCATCTGGCCCTGTTGTCCTTGGCCAAGTCTTTGTCAGTTTTTCCCCCACTTCCTGACAGAGATGTGGGCACCAGCCCTTCTCTGTCTGATGCTCTTTTGAGACCTCTGTCTGCCCTTCAAAGGCACTGGGGATCCCAGCTCTGCAGAAACATCCAGAATGGCCAACAGAGCCGAGTCTGGGAGGGGCACCATAGGGATAATGTCTTGCTGGTCCACCACAGAAGAGCAGGTTTTCCAGCCTGCCCAGTGAGGGCTATTCTGTTAGTATTACCAACAGATGCCATTTTTCAGTCACTGTACCAACTGGTTTGTCATCCCATCCAAGCCTGCAGCCATTGTTTTGTAGCCACTCAAGAACAGACCTTCTCTATTTTGCTGCCTCGTGGAAATAATATTCTCCTCACACGAGCCCCACTTAAATTAGAGGCGTGAGGAATTTAGGTCTTCTTAGTTCCTTAGTGTGGTTTTCTTTTTCAAGAGATAAAAAACACAAAACTTAGAATCTGAAGACCTGGGACCTTTTGCCAGGAGAGCAGAGCAATCCCAGACATACCATTCCTCCCTAGCCACGCCTCAGTTTCCCCAGCTGTTACAGATGGGAGATTGTCTACTGTCTCCCTCTGGGGAGTGTTCTCGTGGTGAATTGAATGGTGTCTATGAAAATAAGCTTTGGAGACACAGAAGCTGTGTTTAGCAGCTTAAACAAGCTTCTCTCTACTAATGACTTAAGAAGTTTATTGAGAAGCCATTTATTGCTGTATGAGCAAAGCTAAGCTCCTTACCCTAGTTTCGCATTTGTGGGATAAATAGCAGTTCGCTTCCTTTGGTTTAGTCGGGACATGCCCTGAGGTTGGACTGGAACAATGATGTGGCTTAACCAGGCCAGGCAGCCTTTATGTTGGATATCCAGCTACTCAGCATTGCAGTGTCCTGTGAAACAAGAGCACAAATACACAAAGGCAGGGCCACATTGCAGTGTCGGGGTGAGGGGCATGAGGTAATGACCCACCACAGGGACAGTCAAAAGAAATGCCCAACAGCATTTTCATTGTATTTCATGGGTTCTTTCTGATTAGAAAGAGAAGGATATGGGATGGTGCTAAACATGCAATTTTCACAAGTAGCATTTTGGCCAAGGGATGTGCTAAACTCACAGACTTTCCCTTTTTGTCTTCTCAGATGGAAATATTGCCAGTGAAGACAGTTCCCTCTCAGATGCCCTTGTTCTAGAGGATGGTAGGTTTTCCGTGTCTTGCTTGAGAACTCGGAGCACAGATTAAACTGGGATTAAGCTGTGTGTAGTCTGGGACAGCCCAGTGGGAAGGCAAGAGCCAGTCCAAGATGGCAGCCGGATTCCTCACAAATCTCTCATTTCCCAGTGTCTCCTATTTGGTTGGGAGTGGGTGGGTGCTACATAGCCATGTCTTTTGGAATTTTAGTATTTCCTGTGGCCCAGAGGTCAGATTTAAGGTGATATTCAGTGAGTAATGCTTCACTTTTTTAGTTGCCAAAACCATGTTTTTAACTAAACAGAGAATCTGAACACCATGCGTAGTTTCCTTTTGAGTATTCATAATTTCTGGAAGAAAGAGGTGGACATTGATTTGGATCCCAAATCAAAGATTGAAACCTACTGAGAGAGCCTGGGAGCTTCAGGGACACAAGAAACTCTCTATACCTTCCTGAGAAATAGTGAAAATGAAGAGGCAGATGTCCCTTTGGATGCCTGGTCACGCCTTGAAAATCATCTTATTATTTCCCAGGGAACTCTAAAAACCTCATGATTATCAGGATATTTTCTTGGGAAATTCTTAGAAAAACACAACTGATCCCCCACACTCACCCCCTAGCCCACCATCACACATTGGGAACGAAAGGATTCCAGACACGCAACCATCTCCGAGAAAGTTCCTGTGGCTGGTTAAACCAAAACTTGGGAGGCCGGGGTGTTAATGATATGGAAATATATTAAGTGGCAGTTAATTTTTTGCTCTTAGGGAACCCTCAGGCGGGTAGTGATAAGTGGCTATTCAGACAGAAAACATTAAAGGTCTACCCAAGTCATAGCCATAATGATAATTGCAAGAATAATAGTAATTGCTATTGATGTGGGGAAAGGCTGGCGGGTTATTCACCCAGTTGTCTTGGCCCCGCTATGAGCAATCAGATGGTAGTATTTTTATCGTCAGCTTCGTTACATGGTGGGGAGGAGATGGGGCCACCGGGGAGCAGGAAGCTGTGTTTCGAATATTAGAGATCCAGCCCTGGTTTGGGCCTCTGTGGACTCCAGTCTCTCCAGGGGAGGCAACGAGAACGAGTCAGTGAGATTCCTCTGTAATAGAGGAGTTAGGGAGGTTTATGTAGTTGTTAGCGAATTTTGATGCATCGTTTGTGAGTACAGTTTCCTTCCCATGTTTCAGACCTGCAGCCTCTGCAGGGGCGTTAGGGCCTCACTGGGACCTCCCCCAACAACTCCCATCGCAGGCTCCCTCCTTCTGGGAACTCTTTCCTTTGCTGATTTGAGTACTAAAAGAGGAGTGGAAGCCTAGTGTGTGTCCAGGGTTCAAGGATGGGAGTTTGAGAAGTAGGCTTGGAAGACAATACTAGATGGAGATGGAAAGGTCATGGGGCTTCTGAGGTTTGCTTCTGTGTATTTTTCCCCTCCAACTCCCACCTCTACCTCTCTGCCTTCATGAGGAACACTGCATTTTTCCTGCCTCTGTCTGCTCAAGGCCGCCCTCCCCCAGGTTCTCAACACTGGATGTCTTCCTTCCTTAACCCCTCCCCAGCCCCTCTCCCAGCCTTGCCCACTTTTGACCCCTGCCAGATGACTGGTTCTTAAACAGGATTTCCATCCTGACACATCCATAATTAAGTTGCAGAGTTTTCCTGTGGCTTTCAGACCGAATCCTGACTCCTTAGCCTGGAACTGAAAGCCCCCTGTCAGCTGGGGCTCTTGCTTGTCCCAGTGCACACAGTAGGTCTGCACTCCCTCTCCCCCTCTGCTCTGCCCCCCCAGGCGCAGCCCCAGTTGGATGCAGCCCTGGGCTCTTCCTTTTGTCCGCCCCTCTGCCATCCACGCTGATTCCCCTCCCACCAGCCTCGCCTACTCTTCCCTCTTTGACTGACGGACTTCACTTCCTCTGAAAGTCCCCCGGCACCCTGAGGTGTTCGATCATCACTCCCCCGAAGGCAGGCACTAGTCTTCTTTCATATCTACTGTTTGTAGCTTGTCTCCTTCCCAGAGACCCTAAGGCAGTTGCAGAATGCAAATGTCACACAGGAACACGTTACAAGCCAATATAGACAGTCTGAAAACGCAGAGACGGTAGATCGCTAGAGCCACCGGCAGGTAATTACACTCGACAGATAAACGTTCATTCATTTTTTCCAAAAATATCTCTTGAGCACCTACTATGTGTCAACAGTCATTCTAGGCCCTGAAGATGTAGCCGTGAACAAAACAGACAAAACCTCCTGGAGCTGAAACTCCCCTGAAGCAAATTAGACGCGGACCGTCTATTGAAGGAACACTGACAGTATAATAATGACTATATTTGGCTGTTGGGTGTGAAGCAATCGTTTGTCGTTGGTGTTTAATGAAATTCAGCCTTGACTCCATTTGTAGATAATCAAAAGGGAAACTGCTCTTCCCTTTTAGTGCTGCTCCAAGGTTGGGCTTGGTTCGGTCTGGTTCGACTTGTCTTGACAACTGGGGAAGAGTCATGGGGCACCTTCAAAGGGCGGATGCCTGTCTGGTCCCCAGAGGTTGATGTCAGGGCGGAGGTGGGCGGGGGTGTGTCTGGGGGCCGTGGGAAGGATGACCCTTGCTCAGTGCCTCTCTTTCCGTCTTTGTGCAGAAGACTCTCAGGTCACCAGCACACTGTCCCCCTTACAGTCCCCTCACAAGGGACTTCCTCCTCGGCCACCATCACACAACAGGCCCCCTCCTCCCCAGTCCCTGGAGGGACTCCGGCAGATGCACTATCACCGCAACGACTATGACAAGTCCCCCATAAAGCCCAAAATGTGGAGTGAGTCCTCCTTAGATGAGCCTTACGAGAAGGTCAAGAAACGTTCCTCCCACGGTCATTCCAGGTGAGCGGGGTCGGGGAGGTCACTGAAAGAATCAAAGGCTGCCCCAAATAGCATCCACCAGTGGCAAAACCCCAATCAGCCTATTTCCTCCTTCCTGGGGTGGTCTTTCAACAGCGCCGCGCGCACAGCGCCCTCTGCTGCTGACCCTGTTGAGGTGCAGATTTGTCATTCCAAGGGAAATTGGGTTTTTGGCTCACAGTCAGTGTGTTGGCAGATGGCTTTAATGTTGTTAAATTCCACGGGAATTAATTAGGAAATCTTAGGTAGCATTATTCCAGAATGGTAAGTCAGAGACCACTCGTAGGAATCCCAAAGTGGTTTCAAACCTTAAACCATCCTCCAGCAGAATTCTGGAGCCAAACAGCTGTAACCTTAGCTGGGCATTATCAGCTCGTTACTCGGCTGATGATGTAGAGAGGGTTTTTTGGAAGAGATTTTTGGTCTGCTTCTCTGTTTTTCTCATTTCCTTTCGTTACACCCCATAAAGCTGTAAGTGGGTGCCCAGACAGGTAAATATTTGTCTTTTGGAAAACAGACTCTGTGGTTGAGGGCAAGGCCTTCACAGAACACTCACGCTACCTGTTACAGAGAAGGTTGACGAGAGTCTTCATCTCACATGCCATGGGGGTCAGGGACGGGAAGCGCCACCCACTCCTGGGGGAAAGGGTGAGAACCAAAGTAGAGATCTGAGGGAGCGATCCTGGGCAAGCTTTCCTGCCATCAAGATTGATGTCCCAAGGCTTAGTCAGCAACCGGAGAACAGGTGCGGTTCTGCCTGGCAGTGACCAGCATGGCCTCCTCTGGTTTGCAGTGGCCACAAGCGTTTCCCCAGCACGGGGAGCTGCGCCGAAGCAGGCGGGGGAAGCAGCTCCCTGCAGAACAGCCCCATCCGCAGCCTGCCTCACTGGAACTCGCAGTCCAGCATGCCGTCCACGCCAGACCTGCGGGTCCGGAGTCCCCACTACGTTCATTCCACGAGGTGAGTCCACTCCGCCCTTGGCCATCTTCCTCCCTAAACCAGACCTTCCTTTGTAAACTTTGGCAGTGCTGACTCCAACGTGGTCCAGATAATGGGTGAGCTAGAGTCAGGCCTGAACCAGTGAGGTAGGTTCTTCTTAAAATGAGGCAGAATAGAAAACTGAGCTGGTAGCAGTAAGCCCGTGTTAGTCAAGAGACCCCTTCTATCCTACTGTCCATGCTCCATGGGCACTGGGAGTAAGCCAGAGATTCCTCTGGAGACAGAGGGCGTGGAAGGAGCTTTCCTAATCCAAATGCAGGCAGGAAAGGCCAGCCAGATTAGCCAGGAAGAGTGTTGGGACCAGAACGACCTTGTACTGCTGGGCTCATCTTTATTGGATAGTCCTCATATATCTTTCTACTGGGGCCTAAATTTATTCGGACTTTTTAATGCCTCAAGACGTAAATTCATTAAAGCGCAAAGGGAACAGGCAAAAGTGAGGCTCCCGTGAATCACACCTTAATTTTCTAACAAAAGGCAAAACCAAAGCCATCATTCCATTTTATCAAAAACTGAGCCCATAGGGACCGTGGCCCAAGAGACAGATGGTGTAATCTGCCATAAGTAGTGACCCATTTTATGTGGGATAAGGTTGAGCTCTCCAGGCAAGATTGCTTCCTTCCTTCCTTCATCCATGCATTCATTCATGCATTCTTCATTCATGCATTCATGCAACAAATATTATCAAGTGCCTATATGAACCAGGTGCTATTCTAGGGGGTAGAGCGGTGAAGGAAACGGACCACACCCCTGCTCTCCTCAGATTTTAGTTGGGAGAGAGTCACAGTGAAAAAATATGTCAAGCAATGATAAGCACTAAGAATAACAATGAACAGGACAAGGGGCTAGAGAGAGAAGGGAGAGATCATCTTTTCAATGGAGGCATCAGAGAAGGCCTCTCTAGTAAGGTGACACCTGAGGATACTCAGGGGACAGCAAGGTCAGAGCCCTGGATGCAGGCCTGCACTTGGCATATTCCCAGGAGGCCAGTATGGCCAGAACAGAGTGATGGAGAGGGTGGGACCAGAGAGGAAACTGAGAACCGAGTCACAGAGGGCCACATGGTAGGGACTTCACGTTCTATCTAGAAGGACAGTCAGAACTAGAATTCGCCTCTTCCTGGACTTGGCCAACCCGTTTACCTGTAGTCCTTGCATCTTGTCCCGGCCATATTGCTGGATAGTCATAGTGTGGACCTGCATAAGCAGAATGGATGACACACAGTAGTGGCCTGGTAAGTATTGCATCGGTCATTTTTTAGTGTTCCCTGTACCACCAACCTTCCAATTTAAGGTCTTCATGGGCAATGGAAATCTGTTTATGTGGATTTTATACTGGTATTTAGTTGAACCATATGAAGGGCTTCTGCTGGACTGTTTTGTGACCTACAAAAATGGGCATGTTATCTAGTTTAGCATAATACTAGAATAGGGTTTCTCTTGGTTCTTTTTCTATCTATAGAATCCTTTTCCACCTTAAAAAAAAAAGCCCCTGGTTACTGGCATACATTTTTCAGAGAAGAACCCTCCTGTGGGTTGTCTTCAGTCCCCCCTCCCACTCGGAATCCAAAGTCACAGCGGAGGCCCGGCTCGCCTCCAGGGATCAGCAGCCCCCTCCTGCCCCGTCTGCACCTGGGAACAAAGGGGAGCATCTGGACGGCCAGGGCAACCCTGTCTAGGCTCTCAGTTTCCCAGGCGCGCATTTGCTGGAGGTTCCGGGCTGCGTGCGTTTTGCTCTTTCCCGACTGCGATGATTGCAGAGCCCCTCCCTCCTCCCGGACACCCCTCTCCTGGGCCCCCCAGACTCACCGAGCCATCTCCCCGCAGGTCAGTGGACCTCAGCCCCACGCGACTGCACAGCCTCGCCCTGCACTTTCGGCACCGGAGCTCCAGCCTGGAGTCCCAGGGCAAGCTCCTGGGCTCGGAGAACGACACGGGGAGCCCCGACTTCTACACCCCACGGACTCGTAGCAGCAACGGCTCCGACCCCATGGACGACTGTTCCTCCTGCACCAGCCACTCGAGCTCGGAGCACTACTACCCGGCGCAGATGAACGCCAACTACTCCACGCTGGCCGAGGACTCGCCGTCGAAGGCGCGCGCGCGGCAGCGGCAGCGACAGCGCGCGGCGGGCGCGCTGGGCGCGGCGAACTCGGGCAGCATGCCCAACCTGGCGGCGCGCGGCGGCGGCGCGCACGGCGTCTACCTGCACAGCCAGAGCCAGCCGAGCTCGCAGTACCGCATCAAGGAGTACCCGCTGTACATCGAGGGCAGCGCCACGCCCGTGGTGGTGCGCAGCCTGGAGAGCGACCAGGAGGGCCACTACAGCGTCAAGGCGCAGTTCAAGACCTCCAACTCGTACACGGCGGGCGGCCTGTTCAGGGAGAGCTGGCGTGGCGGCGACGAGGGCGACGCAGGCCGCCTGACGCCGTCGCGCTCGCAGATCCTGCGGACTCCATCGCTGGGCCGCGAGGGCGCCCACGACAAGGGCGCGGGGCGCGCGGCCGTCTCGGACGAGCTGCGCCAGTGGTATCAGCGCTCCACAGCCTCCCACAAGGAGCGCAGCCGCCTGTCGCACACCAGCTCCACCTCCTCGGACAGCGGCTCCCAGTACAGCACCTCCTCCCAGAGCACCTTCGTGGCGCACAGCAGGGTCACCAGGATGCCCCAGATGTGCAAGGCCACGTCAGGTGAGAGTGGGGACGGGGGAGCAGCCCTGCGCGCACATGGTCCAGCCTCGATGTGTGAACTGTTGACCGATTTCAAGGGCTTCCAGATTTTCTTAGAGCTTGCAGTGACAAAGAGAACGTTAATTCTAGAAAGCTAGCTGCCAGATGTGTGAGACTTGACGTCTTCCGACCCTCCTCCTTCACCCCCTCCCATTCTAGCCCTGATTTTGCTGAGTGACAAAGATCAGGGGGCAGGGCTGCACTTCCGTGTGGGCTGGGCCATTACAGCTTCCTTAGTAGGGGTGCAAACCATCCCTCCAGCCACCTCTCCTTCTAAGGATAGATGTCAAAGGCATTATGTGAAGTCATGTCTCAGCGTTTGTCCAGTCAAAGGTGCACCTTCCCCTGGCGGACAGTGAGATGCTATTACATTAGACTCCTGAGTGGCACCCTTGCAGAGGAAAGCTTGCTTTGGGCACGGACTTGGGTCATGCAGCCCTGAGATCTGGCCAGCGTCTCCCCAGGTGGAGGCAGGCTGGCTACGAAGGGAGTGGCCGAGCTCAGCGTTTGACCTCACCTGTGACTGGGAACTCCTGACTGCTCCTTGCATTCCCATTTCAATGATATTGGGATGCAACCAAAGTAATCTTCATAAAGTGCTTTCAATACGTTGATATTACATCTTAAAATTTTCATAATTAAGGGGTGCCTTGTAGTCTTGTACTCAGAGCACTGAGCAGTGCTGAATCAGTACAAAATGGGAAGAAACCGTCCTTTCCCTTAAGACGTTACATTCCCTTCCCACTCCCTCTCCAAGGAATAATGAGGGTGATGCTATCCAGCGATTGTTCAGCAGTCACTAGCGTATATGAACTCCTGGACACACTCGTAGCATCATAAAGAGAGGGGAGACTCGTGCAGGGATAAGACACTCTGTAGCCCATTGACTGTAAGAAAAGAAAGTGGGGGAGGATTTCGAGACATGATAAAAATGATTTAGAAAGTATAAGAATAAAAGGAGAGTCAGCAGCAGATGGAAGGAACTCCACGTCAGGATGTGACTTGTGCCTGGAAAGAGGCTTAAGTCAGGGCAAAGATCAGGGGAGAGAGGGCAATCTTACAGAAGAAAAGGTGGGGTTCATTTCTGGGGAGCTGAAGGAGACGCCTGGGGACTGGAGAGAGCCGGGCAGAGAGTAAGGACCGGCTGGCTGCCCAGGTGTGCCATGCCACACGGCTCCTGCGTCTCTTCCCATGTTCCCATTGACTTGTTTATTTTGGTGCACTGGCCAAATAACAAGTTCCAGAGAAGAGAATAGAAGTGATTCAGGCAATCGTGAGAGAACCATGGACCTCAATGAGCCTTCCCCGTATTCCTACTTCGTCTGTAAAGTTAGCCCAGTGAAATGCGCCACCAACTTCCCGGGAGGGTTTTGAGAACGAATGAATGAGTATATGAAGCATGCCATTTCAAGAGCATGGTTCTCTGTACACCTGCTGGAAGCAGCAACGGTCCGAGGAGGGACAGGAGCGTATGTTCCTTCAAACTGCAGCACTTGCCTAGTAGATTTGCTTTACTTAAAGAGATCAGGTAAATCTTTCGGAACATATTTTAAGACTAAAAATTCTAAGAAGCTGGATCTGAGATTTCCTGATGAAAAAGATCCCATTCCCAAGAAAGCAAAGGATGCCTTTAAGTAGGATTTACTTCCTACTAAGTTTTCCCCACTAGGAAAATCCTGCCCACGTCCGTCAACTCCTAGCAGTCAGATCTGGAGGAGCTGTTAAAAACCCTGCCCCCTTGGAAGGTCTTAAAGTGGTAAATTATAAGCCTGGAAAGGCAAAGAGAGCAAGCTGTGAGAACCTTTCTGGAACTTCTCTGTTCTTAACGAAGAACACAGTTTTAACCGTGGGCCACATCTGAAAATGCCCTGAGGTGTATCTCCCTGGGGTCCAGAGAAAGAGGCTCTCCCTGCTTCTCAGCCCAACCCAGCTCTCCCTCAAAGGACTGTGTGGGCATCGGGTTCTTTGCTGCTGTCTAGCCTGTCCCCATTCCTGTGGCCACTTCCCAGTGGCAGAGCAGGGGCGTGGGATCCCAGGTCAGCCTGACTCAGAATGGAGCTGCATGGTTTGGGGGAGAAGATGGAATTAGCCAAATGTGGGGGAGGGATGGATGTTTCCCCACTGTGACCCTGCCACGGGGTCATAGCGAGCATCCCTGGGAAGAAGGTCCCTCACAGACCCCCCGTGTCTGACGCCCGTCTTTTCTGCGCCACCTACACACAGCTGCCTTACCTCAAAGCCAGAGAAGCTCAACGCCATCGAGTGAAGTTGGAGCGACCCCCCCAAGCAGTCCCCACCACATCCTAACCTGGCAGACTGGGTGAGTTCCCCTTTCAGACCTTTAATCCTCCACTTCCGGGTGCTAGAATGATCCTCAGCATTCCTTGTCAGGTAGGAAGAGTGCAATGAGTGTCAGATCCTAGTGACAGAAGAGTTTATCAGCAGCAGAGTGAGGAGTGTTCGTTACGGGGAAACCCCTTCCTTTCTAAAGAAGCCCCATGAACTGCTGGTACCCTCTACCCCTTTCCTTTCCATCACTGTCCCTTTATGCGGGTGAATTCTCTCTTTTAAAGTTGGCAGTGGTCCCGGAACAGCTGGGAAGGTGGGTGTCAGAAGTCGAATTGCACTTCTTTGGTCCGAATTCCAGGCAGCATTTGATTTGGGTTCTGATTGTGCCAGGCTGACTTCAAAATGCCAGGCAAGAAGGAGAGGGGGAGACAGAATGGTTTAGGCACCTGCTCTGGGCTGGGCCCGGCCCAATGTTTTAGATGCTTTGCAGTGTCAGGATGCATCTTAAGAAAAAAGGCAGGAGGCTCAGATCCCATCTCGGTCCTGGCCAAATGCTTATTCTTAATCAACAAAGGGAATCAGGTACCTTGAGACCTTTAAGAAGCGGCCCACAGCAAAATGAACCCCAAGTTCAGCTCCTTTTGTGGCTTTAAATGTAGGCATAGAGCGTTATAATCTCGTGGCCATTTGATCTACTGAAGAGTCCAGCAGATGCACATAACCTGCTTTCTTCACAATTCCTGCCTTTTCTGATGCTCCTAAGACGTCACCTCTAAGTAGATGTTATGTCCTATCAGTGCCTGTTGGGTACAGGAGTTATGGGTCCCTCTATCTGGCTTTATTCAGTTTCTAGTTTGCTGGACCATCAGTGGGGATGTCTGGAAAAATTTGACAGCTGTGAGTTGAATCATCAGAAAAAAACAGGACCCAAATTGGCTTCACTGACTGCATTTCAGGCTCCCATGCTTGGCAGACATTTCTTATTCTTGAAAACTTATCTATAATGATTTTAAACCAGGCTTTATGGTGCCTTAGTATTTGATAGAAGAGAAGGGGAGCTAACTTTTATTGAGTGCTTGCTGTGTACTCAAAGGCTGGGAGCTTCTACTAACATAAATGAGCTCATACGATCCTCACTGCAAACTTGCAAGGGAAATACCCAGATCTTTTAGTTTTATAGATGAGGCGCAGAGAAAGTAAAGTGCCTTGCCCAAAGTCACACAGCTGGATGGAGCTGGGATTTTAGCCCTGCGCTCTGTGATCCCAAAGCCCTGTCTTTTCCCACCAGGCCAGTGGTTCTTAATGTTCGGTCCCCACACCAGCAGCATGAGCATCACTGGGCTCTTGTTAGAAATGCAGATTCTCGGGCCCATCCATGACCTACTGACTCAGCAGCTCTGGGGTGGGACCCTGCAGTCTGTGTGGTAACAAGTCCTCCAGGGTTTTCTGATGCACTCAAGTTTGACAGTCCCTGAAGTACCCCAAGCTCCCTCTTAGTCCTTATGAATTAAGAGAGCGTACAGTCCCGACTACGCTGTTCTTGTGTCCACTCCCACTTCTTGGTCTGTCTTTCGAGCAACAGTCACCCCTCTGTCCTTACTACAGGTCATAAAATACTCCCTTACATGCCATCCACACCCTGGCTCTAGCTCGTGTGGTCAGGCAGCTGCTGCAAAGCCTAGGGCCCAAGATTTCACCAAGATTCATTCCTAAAAGGATGGCAGATCTTCTCCATATGTGGTACCTCCAGTGGCTAAACCATCTCACCCAAGTAAGGAACTTCTGATTTCTGGCACGCTCTCTCTGGATCCTCCAAATTTTCTGGATCATGCCCAGTCTCACCTGATCCAAATATATGATTATTTGACTGAAAACAGCAGGCTCTGGAATTTATGGGCACCCCTCACATGTCTACACACTTGAGATGGTCTTGAAACCTGCCGTATTTCACCACTCTACAGCTAGTGAGGACTCAAGACAAATTCGAAACCAAAAGATATTTTGGTCCTCGAAGTGAAGTTTTATCAGATTGAGCTGAATTATCATTAACAATAACTGTTCTCTGTGATGTGGTAAGAAAATGAGAAATGGGTAAAAAGTGGTACAGCCTGCCTCCCTGATAAAACCAAAGAGGTCTTTTGACTCATTACTCATGGGGGTTGAAAGTTCTGCGTGACGTATATTCTTTGTCACTAACACTTGGGTGTACAGTCAACTGGTCTTGCCAATGTATTAATAAGCTACTAATCATGTCTGTGTCAGTTCCTCTCTTTAACATGACCTCTCTTCTCTTCCTTCTGCTTTCCTTTGTTCAGAGAAGCAACAGAAAACTCGCCCATTATGGATGGGTCTGAGTCTCCAACTCACCAAAGTACTGATGAATAGAGGTATCGTAAGGGAATGCTTTGTTCTTACAGCCCTTCCGCTTCCCCCTCATGACTTTGTGGTCTCAGATGTGCTGCACGTGGGTTGCCCTTCCCCATATCTTAACTTGCAGAAGGAAACATCTGAATGGTGTGGAAGCTACTGTTTGTATGTCTTGTTTCTAGATACATGTGGATCTCGATATATGTTTATATGTATGTTTTGCATCAGATGTTAGGTGCTCCCAATGCTACTGCCCAGGAAAGACCTCAGAGTATGCTTTGCACCTTCTCAGGCTCTATAGGCATACACATACTTGTAGAAGCTTTTACTGGTTTAGTAAATGTCTGGGGAGCACTTCGGAGCCATGGTCCCCAAGACCCAAAGCAGTCAGACTCAAATAAGTCAAAGAAAGGCCCCATTGAAGGAATCGCTTCCTTAGTAATCAATGCCCATGAAAAGAACAACATCATGTAGTTTATGGTTCAAAATACCAAGGGCAGATGGAATTGTTCCAGAAGCACCTGGAGATCACCCATTATTTCGTCCCCGCATTCTTGAGTGACAGCTAGGTACTCTACCAAATGCTGTTTTCCAAAATGTGGTCCATAGACGAGCATGAGCAGCAGCAGCAGCAGCAGCAGCAGCAGCAGCATCACCATCACCATCACCTGGGAGCTTGTTAGAAAGCTAGGCTCCTGGGCCTAGTGAATTTGAGTCTGCATTTTAACAAGATCCCTGGGTGAATGAAATGCACGTTAGAATTCTCAAAGCACTGCTATAGTGGGCATAAAAACAGTAACACCTGGTCTGGTTCCTGTCCTCAGGGACCAAAATCTAACTGGGACACAAGACATTGAAATTAAATAGCATTTCAAGGCTTACCAAAAAAGATAAGGATGCCATTCAAAAGTGGATAAAAAGCCATAAGTTTATTTAATAAAAAAATTGAACTCTGACTATATTCAAGAAACCATGTTAGAGATCGGAGTTCCAGGAGTTCAAATTGAAATCAACAATATAAAAGTCTATCAGGAGACATACAAGGGAAGTAAGAAACTGTGGCATTTTTGTATTAAGTGCTCTGAGACTTTAAACAAAGTGCTAAAAGGATTCCGAGGCCTGGCTTCAAAAGCTTGCAATGGGAGGAGAGGGGGTTAGACAGGTGGGGCTGAGAGAGGCCGTGCCAAGGGCAAAAACACAGATGCAGAAACAAGCAGGGTGCTTGGGGGTCAGCGCAGAGTCCCATTTTGCTGTAGAGAAAGAGCCGGACTTCAGCCTGAAAAGTCAAGGAGGACAAGAGCCTGAACAAATTAGGAGAGTGACAGGGAACAATATTTACTGCAGGTCCCGGGAGTTGGCACATGGAGGATTAGGAAAATAGGGGCTTAGCCTTTGAGAGGAAGGTGGTGGTAAAAAAAAATTCAACTGAGTAAAACTGAGAGATCTTCTTGGCTTTATTGAATTATTCATGAAATGGGCAGCATCCATCCAGCAGGTAGGAGCTCCAAGGAGCTGTACAAAATGGAAGACTTTTACAGGCAGAGAGGAGCAGGCACAAGGAAGCTATACTAGGCAAAAAAGCAGGTCGTTATTGCAAGGTCACCTTCCTTTAGGAGGTGGCTAGGGTCTGTCAGGAAGATCATCTAGCTAGTGCTGATCAGGAGATTCCTGAGGGACTGGTTTAAGATTCCATTTGTGGGAGAGCCGAAACTAATTAAGTCTTGATTTGGTGACAAGGAGTTTAGTGTAACTGACACCATTTTGGATCTTTGTCTTATTAACAATTCTCCACTTTTGACCAGATTCTCAGCCTGGGAGATGTGATCAACATTTAAGGCGTTAACACTGCTCCCAGCTACCGCTCTGGAGTTCTCGCAGTTTTTTGCTGAATTTCTGTGTGGTATTCACAGGTCGTGACATCATGTTCACATTCTTTAAGTCAGTCATTCTCTTTGTTCCTTTTCTGACGATCTATTCTTAGATCATTTATTTGCTTGGTGGTTAGCGGTCGAGAACATGCATTTAAAGCTTTTGAGAGAATGCAGCACACCAGGGAGATTATAATTATTATAAACAGGATCATCCCGATGTCTGGAGAGCACTTAGGAGCCGTGGTCCCCAAGACCCAAAGCAGTCAGACTCAGATAAGTCAAAGAAAGCCCCCATTGAAGGAATCACTTTCTTAAGCCGATGTTCAGTGATCTTATGTAACTGAGTCTCAACTTCCCCGTGTTAACCCAGGTGCGGCAAGTAGTGCTGGCCGCAGCACAGACACCTCCTTGCTCAGCTAAAAGATAATCAAGGGCTATCTACTATCCAAGAACTTTGGCCAGAGAGCCTAGGGATTTTTGTTGAGCAGCTGTTGCTTTAGTAGCAGATTCTGCAGTATCTTCAAGAGTTAAGGAGAGGTTCCTGATCACAGCCTCACTCACGCTTACTCCGAGCCAGGGGAGCAGAGCTCTGCCAAGGGAAGCAAATTCTGAATCCTGAATGCTTTTTGGTAATTGCCGCTTGAGTCTGTGGCTCAGGACTCAAAATCTGACAGCCATGGAGGCCAGAAAAATGTAAGCGTCTGTACACCACACAGGTGGTTTCATTTTGGTTACCCTTGCTTTATATCCCTTTCTTTGTACAGAGGCTGGAGGCCAAGTTCCCCTGGTCTGGGGTTGTTTACCAGACAGGAAATGGATGCCAGGGTTAGGGGGTATGACTTGATAGAGAGGGAGCTGAGTTTGGCCCAGAGAAACTGAGGCAATGGAAATTGGAGAAGTTTGTAACGGGCAGAACTACAGGATCACCAGCATCGTGGCAAACCCACCAGTCATTTGGAGGTTGCATATCCCCCTTGGAAGGCCTGAGATATGCAAACAACAGCATAATCTTTCCAGGCAAGAGCAAGGCAAAAGGTGGAGGAAAGAATCATAAAGACCTTCATGGTGTAGGAATTAGGAAAGGGACGAAGAGGGAAGGAGGAATGGAAAGAACATTCTTGATCCGACGTCTGGAGAGGAAGCAGTCTGCCTCACTGCCGGCTGCTCCTCTTCCTAGTCAGTTGGACTTTGAGGGCCCCAGCTTTTGTGCAGGACCAGATGTCAGGCGGAGCCTTCTTCAGTTGTGAAATATGCACCCAAGGTTCGACACCTTGTAATTTGGCAGTGGTGTCAGTGGTCAAGAGCTCTTGGTAGGGTCTTTTCTATGAATCTCACCTTTGCAAAAGCATCAGAGTAAAAAGTAACTGTCTGTTGGGGGCCAGCCCTGTGGCCAAGTGGTTAAGTTTGTGTGCTCCACTTCGGCGGCCCAGGGTTTCACCGGTTTGAATCCTGGACACAGACATGGCACCACTCGTCAGGCCATCCTGAGGCAGCGTCCCACATGCCACAACTAAAAGGACCCACAACTAAAATATGCAACTATGTACTGGGGGGACTTGGGGAGAAAAAGCAGGAAAAAAAAAAAAAGATTGGCAACAGTTGTTAACTTAGGTGCCACTCTTTAAAAAAATAAATAAATAACTGTCTGTAAATGACAAAAGACATAAAAATGCCCGTGGTTAAAGATCTGGTGAGACTTCATCTGATGAGAATTGACAAAGAAATTTGGTTATTTTTGATACACACCATTTTAAGGTAACAAATTATGACTGATACCATTGTACCTGGACATTTCAGATTTCTAGGAACTTCCAACAATTTCTGGCACACTCACATTATTAACATACATCCATACAAGTAATCTAAGAAGGTTTGTCATCACTTATTTGACAACACTTTCCATGTAATCTAACATACCAAATAAACCTAATTAGTACAATATGTCTCTTTTACAAGGTGAAAGAGAAATCCTTTGAGATTTTCCAGGGGCCCTCTGGGAAATTTCAGAGTTACTTGAGGTCAAAGAGACACCATTTATTTTTTATACATTTATTTTTAAAGATTGGCACCTGAGCTAACATCTGTTGCCAATCTTCTCTCTTTTTGTTTTTCTCCCCCAAACCCAGCAATACATAGTTGTATATTCTAGTTCTAGGTCCTTCTGGCTCTGCTGTGCGGGATGCTACCTTAGCACGGCCTGATGAGTGGTGCTAGATCCATGCCCAGGATCCAAACTGGCGAAACCCTGGGCCACTGAAGTGGAGCACGTGAACTTAACCACTCGGCCCGCCCAAAGCTTTTGTTTTTTTAAGATTGGCACCTGAGCTACCAGCTGTTGCCAATCTTCTTCTGTTTTTTTCCTTCTTCTTCTCCCCAAAGCCCCAGGACGTAGTTGTATGTATTCTAGTTATATGTCCTTCTGGCTCTGCTGTGTGGGACGCTGCCCCAGCATGGCCTCATGAGCAGTGCTAGGTCTGCAACCAGGATCCAAACCCACAAAACCATGGACCACTAAAGCAGAGCATGTTAACTTAACCACTGGGCCATGGGGCCGGCCCCTAAAAGACGCCATTTAGAACTTGATTTTGGGAAGTCGTCAAAATGTCAAAAAGTTTGAACATAGGACTATATAGGATCACAGATCATTATGAAATAATAATTATCTGTTTAACCAAAGTGACAATAGAAGATGTTAAAGGCAAACACAGAATGTTACATGGTTGTGAACAAGCCTTAGCTCTTTTAATATTGAGAAGACTGGGTTTTCTTAATTAATCAAAGATCTGAGAAAGACCATGCGAAGCCCAGTAAATTATTTTGATAAGACACAAATCTTTGCTGTTCAGACAGATTACTTAAAAGGTAAAGAAACTTTCACAATCACTCATCAAAAGCAGACCAAAAGTCCAATAAAACTTTATCCTTTGAACAGAGAGAAAACCAAATTCTAATTTTGCACCAGTGTACTTTTGATATTAAAACTCATTAAAAAAACTTACCTAAATCCATCCTATCTTAGCCAGCTTGACCACACATAAAAATCCCTTCTCAAGATTCCTTTTTACAAACGTCCTACAACTTCTTAATAATCATTTAGAGTTTGTCATATATAGTTTTTTTCCCATTCTGGAACGATCACTTTACTT